CATACGTATATGTATATATATATAGCAATTTTTTGTTGTCGTCTAAGCTATTCCGGGACGGGGCCACCGTAGCGACGAAGCGTGGGTCCCCTTAGAAACGGACCCAGAAGCATAATCGAATGATGTAAGGCCCTAATAAAATCGTAAGTCGGTTGACAGCCGTCGAATAGCCTAGGATAGTAGCGGCAACCTCCCCCGTAAAATCGTGGGTCGCTTTTGTTGTTGCCTTACGTAAGAACGAGGAACAAGAATGGCGACGAAAGAAAACGACGTCTCGTGGCAGATGCTTGCTCAGACATTCTGCAGGCTTGATACACACTAAGGTAGCCAACCAGTCAGCCAACCAGCCAACCAAGGAACCAACTAGGGAACCAACTAAGAAGGCGAAAAAAAAACCTCTAGCTTCTTCTACAAGTTCGTGCTCTAATGCGATCTTCCATCTTATACGTATCTTACACGCCTGCCTGACTCGAACGTGAATGAATTTCACCATTGAACGCGAAAAAGAAAAGTGGTGATAAATTTTTTCCAAAAAAAAGAACCGCTCATCGATTGAACGAATTTGAGCTATTTTCAGTAATTCCAAAATTTTTATTCGATGAGATGAAATTTTACAAAATTTTAGTACGAATAAATATATTCGGACGAGGGGTTGGCGGGGAGGTCTCTAAGCGGGTGGAAAGTTGGAAAATAAATTTTGGGGGCGGACCTGAAAGGAGGGGGGTGAACGATGCAACCGCGAAATCGTAGGAAACCGTGAAAATAACGATTTCTCTTTGTGACCCGAAGGCTAACCGCAACGACGTATAAATGCGCTGGTATGACTTGACGAATTTTACGCAAGTATGAAGCCGATGTTTTATGTAGATCGGTTTTAGGATGGAGATGGCATAACGCCTCTTTCATATAAATTTAAAAAAAAAGACGCTACCGTATACCCACGATACTTCCGGTCCCACTATTTTTTTTTTTTTTTTTTTTTTTTTTTTTTCAAAAAAAAAAAA